GTTTATAATAAACTAGGTTTTGCCCGCGGCTTCAACCGCGTGAAATTTAGTTTGTCACAGATCGTCCTAAATTACAAGTTTAATAATTGGCGAAAGAAAAAAGGGGCAGTGAGGAGTGTACGTCAAATCCTCCATTTTGCATCTGGTAAATACACTCGGCATCAAATAAATCGCACCTCCCGCGACAAGCACTTATCAAACGTATGTACGTATCCCCACTACCCACCAACATTGGTACCATTTGAAAGCCTAGTTCTAACCTTCATTTCATTAAAGGAAAGCATTTTGCCCCAAAAATGAGTTTTTAGAAGGATCCAGAGTCACTTCTTCAAAAAATAGGTACCTAGTTACGCTTGAGCCAACTTTTATGGCTATAAAACTGTTAAATTGGGATTAATCGCTACCCATCTGTTAAAAAGGACGCGTAAGATCATTATTTGGTTTTATAACCACAAAAATTGGTCTACTTGGTCCCAGAGGTGAGCCCAAAGTGAGGTCTTTTTTCAAGTCACATTTATGGTAGCTGTTAATTGTTTATAAAAAAATTAAATGTGTTTTTCTTTAAGTTTATTTATTAGGCTTTCAAATAACACCAATATTGTTGGGGCACCATGATTGTGTCAGAAGAAAATCTTGAAAGTTCGCGTCGCGGAAGGTGCGATTTATTTGATGTTGAGTGTAGAAGGTCGTCATCCTGCAGTGAAGACTGGAGACTGAAGGACGAAGCACACTTATCAACCCGGAAACGGATCGTAACCATATCAAATCGAGGCAGTCGGTATTCTTGAAATATGAAACTCTGTACTGCAACGCATACTTAGGCCCAGAACAGACGGTGAAACGCAACTGCAACGAAACTGCAACTTTCTGATGATTCTGATGAATGAAACTGAAACTGAAAGTTTCAAACTGGTCGCGTCATGTGTGGTCTCTCAACGGACGCTATGGCAGAAACTTAGATGTAACTCAAAAGTAACTAGCAGTTGCAGTTTCGTTTCACCGTCTGTTCTGGGCCTTATAACACGCGGTTGGCTCGCCTCGCCGGATCCCTTTCCGGGTTGATATGTATGTGTGCTATGATCTTAAATGATCTGATGATGACGAATGAAACAACTGACTGTATATAAAACACTTGCATATATTTTAATAGGAAAGTTAACAAAACTCATGGAACAGCTAATGGTTATGACGTCATCTAATAGGCACGATCTAACATACAAGCGACGGCACATCAAGCTAAAGTGCACTTTATTTAGTTACAATAAGAGCGATTTTTCAACAAAGTATAGTTTGATGTGACGTTGCCTGCATCTCTAACATAGATATATTTTTCTATTTCGCATATTTCATACGATGACAAAATAACAGGTTTATAAAAATCAGCTCCTTGACCTAAGTAAGGCAGGATTCACACTAATATGTCATGTTGTGACGCATCCTTTAGCATACATCCTGAATGTACATTTTCATTTTATTTATTCATTCCAATTATGAAATTAATTGGGTAGAAGAATTACGTATTTGCTATGCAAGTTGCTCTCACGTTTCTTAGATATTATAGTTTTTTTTAAGAACGTTCTGATGCATTCTGTCACTTTTGTCTAATTCGTTGGAAAATAAAATAACGTAATCTGACTACACGTCATACAAATATAAATCCACCTTAAGTAAAGCCTGGTCCGTGAGCACGTAGAATTTTGTCCAATGACCCCAAGCTACCCATCCTTATCGCTCGCGCGTAATTATATTGCTGTCGCGACTGTGCGACGGAAGCCCGCAGTGAGTGTGCGAACGCGACAGCAACATAATTACGCGCGAGCGATAAGGATGGGTAGCTTCGGGTCATTGGACGAAATTCTACGTGCTCACGGACCAAGCTTGAGTCAGAAATCTCTTACAATTTATTTTTTATTAATGCACCACAACACGACTTCATAGTGTGAATCCAGGTTATCATTGTTTGTATAATTGTCATTATTAAACATATTCGATTACTCTCTTCAATTTCAATCTAAGTATACACTTAGGGATAGATTTGCGACTCTTCATACACATAGTACGTATTCATACAATACTTATACGTCTATTGCATAACTAAGTCAGTACCTGAGGTGTGGCAGCGGCACGGGAGGTTGTTTTTGTTGACCTCAAACGTCATAGACTGAGAGCTGGTGAACGCCAGACCTACGTCATTTTCTAAAAGCTGAAAGTTTGTCAGCGTATGCTCCCAATATAGGATAGAATATTGGTGAATCATGAAGTTTGGGTCATCGAGGCTTTGGTAACTATCCTAAAAAAACTGTCTGGCAAGGAGTTAGAACTGTCAACTTCTAATCATTGTCCAAATATTACAGTCTATTGAATATACAGAAAAAGTTGGTGGTAAAAGTTAGGCTAACGTTACACACTTACACCATAAAAGCTGATTTTTATATAAAATACTAGCTGACCCGGCGAACTTTGTTCCGCCTTAATGGCAATAAATAAGCAGACTTTTTTTTAAATTTCGAACGGGATAAAAAGTATCCTATGTCCTTCTCCTGGCTCTAAACTACCTCCCTGACAATTTTCAGCTAAATCGGTTCAGCCGTTCTTGAGTTATAAGTGGAGTAACTAACACGACTTTCTTTTATATATATAGATTAGAGCATTAATTGGAAGTAGTTTCCTCATCAGGCAGACAGTTTTGACAGTTCCAACTCCATGCCAGACAGTTTTTTTAGGATAGCTGCCAAAGCCACGATGACCCAAACTCATGATTCACCAACATTCTATCCTATATTGGGAGCATACGCTGACCAACTTTCAGCTTTTATAAAATGATGTAGGTCTGACGTTCACTAGCTCTCTATCAGAGACTTCAGATTTGTATGCTCTGTCACGTCATACCTTTGCACTGACTTAGCACTAGACATATAGTTTACTCATTTTGGCGTCATACAAAATTACAATAGTCTACGAGTACACAGCTACGCATTCTAGACGGATAGTTCGTATAATCATTCTATCAACAATAATTGAACTCTAAAATAGACAATGGTATAGAATTGGCTAGTTCACTTTAACATTGGATAGCGAATTTTGTGACAGCGAAAAACATTTTAAGTAAATTCAAGCTTATCGGTGAATTAAATAACAATATTTAGACCAATCACAGGTTTGGACTAATGTCGTGGTTTGTGAGTAGAGGCCGGTAAATCTATTCTCATAAATAAAACACTGGATACTTAACTTTCACATAATATTGCCTCATTTTAATGCAATTCATCACTTAGTACAAAAGCGCGCGGAGCCGTCCGCGCTTCCCTCTATTCTGACATTGACATTACGTCAATGTCACTATGACAGTAGCTCATTGGCTTTAACGATACCGTTATTTTAACGTTTTAGATTTTACACAATTAACAGTAGTTTCGGAAAAAATGACACAAACCGCGTAAAATAATACTCAAGCGTTGAAAATAAATTTGTGGTAAAAAATTTGATCAACAGCCGTTCTCAGAATACAATTGCGACCAAAAAGCTCGATCTAACAAACACAGGCACTTTCATACACACTAACAGTTATAATTTGAGTACAACAATCATTGTAGATGGATACCATTACACTTAGCGGCACAAAAATCGACCCGTTCAGTAAATTTTCTTACAAATATGCTCAAATCACAGTCTTATAATACAGGTTGGCCCCAGTATGGCTCCAATGAAACGACTTTTATTCGCTGTTAGAGAAAACAAAGCTATAGGTATTCATAATTATTTAAATGCTTATAATATCGTCTATAAATAGTAATTATGGAGTAATTTATTTGTGAGACTGTAATGTGAGCATGTTTGCATCAAAATATCAGGGTGTTCGATTTTTGTGACATTGAGTGTACATAAGCTAAATTTCTAACAAAATTCGTTATCTAAAAACATACAAAAGCTGCTGCAAGGATCTTTATAATTTATTTATCTTTAAATAATAGCAATAAATTAGTGTCATTACAAGTTATTTCATTACTTCAACATAATTTCAGCCATAGAACGTCCACTGCTGAACATTTGATTACTTAAAAAACTCCTCTATGGAATACATTTGTGACGTCCACTGTATTTGAAAGACAACTTGTAGAATTATTTATTGCTCAAATATAAATATATGTATTCAACACAAATCATTTGTCCTTTGCGGGATTCCAAGTTGCAGCCATTGAGTTGTAAAGTCTGGTCGCGGACCCGGCTTTACTAAGATAAACATTTTAGATCCTTGCAGTACTTTGCCAATATTAAAGGACAAAACCACTTAAAATATAACAATAACTACNTATAACAATAATAATGTAACCTAATAGACCTTGTTACATACAACAATTGATTTGAGAATATATTGTCACTTAATACATATTTCAGTCATACATTTTTATTTATACACATTCTATATACATCTGTACATGTTTATATATTTGTCATTTTTGATACATTATTGTTCGCCTTTCTCACATACACATTTATGTTTATTTCTATGTCAAAGTATAGCTCATGCAATGTATGGTATATTTGTTAGACAGCACACTGATTTTGAAACTTAAGGCAAGGGCATATATTTCAAAATGCAATGGAGAAATTCTTAGGGTTATGTGCAGTCAGCGTCAAATAGTTCGTGGCACCTAAAGTAGCCCAAAAGTTCGCAACACGTCTTTATTACAATAGGCTAGATGACAAAATTTCAATTATTTGTCCGTCAGACAGATAATTAGAAAATATTAGACTCATATTTTTTATTTTCTTTCATAATTAAATAATAACAGTGCTACATCGAGTTCAAATGGCGCGTTACGTCACGCTTGAGTAGATTTTTTACTCAAACGTGACGTCACGCGACATTTCAACTCAATATAATACTGTAATTATTCGATTATGAAAAATAAATTAAAAATATTGTGTCCAAATTCTTTTTATTATCTGTCTGACTAAATAGAATTTCGATTTCATTATCCAGTCATCATCCCTAAGATGGTATTTTCAACTTTTTGGCCACTTTGGGTGTCACAAATTATTTGACGCCTGACTGTATCATACAATACGAAGCAATGTAAGGCAATAAGGATTAAAATGCAGTGGCAATGATGATTAAATAGTTGCCTTATTTAAAGTAATTTTCAACAAATGGCAACAAATTATATTAAAACTTTATTACGTATAATGGGAAGGCTTCTATCTAACCGTACTTTAACCCTCCAAACCGTTCACAATTTTAAGTTTTTAGTTAAAATTTTCAAACATATTTTCGACCGTATTCCGTCTGAATAAAGTTCAAAATACGGTGGCAAAAGTTCCAGGCCGACAATTTAATAAATTCTACGTGTACCTCGCGTAGTATTCGGACAGCGTTTCGTTACCATATTTAGCTTTTATATTTTAGACTTTATCTCGTCTTAATAAAGTTCAAAATACGCTGCCAAATTAAAGACCTATAATTCTGTAACTATTTTCCCCCTCAATAAACATATTTTGGGCTTTATTTCGACTGAATAAAGTCCAAAATACAATGACAAAAACTCACCCTGACCGACAATTTCTTCTACGTATAACTGGCACAGTATTCGGACAGCGTCTTCATACCGTGCGTACTTCACTTCTGTAATTTTATTATTTAATTCTTGATACATATTTTGAACCGTATCCCATGTTAATAAAGTCCAAAATACAGTAGCAACAACTCACCCTGACCGACAATTTCTTCTACGTATAACTGGCACAGTATTCGGACAGCGTCTTCATACCTTGCTTACCGACCCTCACACTTCTGTAATTTTATTATTTAACTCTTGAAACATATTTTGAACCGTATCCCATGTTAATAAAGTCCAAAATATAGTGACAAAAACTCACCCTGACCGACAATTTCTTCTACGTATAACTAGCACAGTATTCGGACAGCGTCTTCATACCGTGCTTACTTCATTTCTGTAATTTTATTATTTAATTCTGGAAACATATTTTGAACCGTACCCCATGTTAATAAAGTCCAAAATACAGTGGCAACAACTCCCAGACCTACAAGTTATACAATCCTACGTATAACTGGCACAGTATTCGGACAGCGTCTTCATGCCGTGTTTGCCGACTACCCTCGTGTTGTGTCCGGTGACGGCCGGGTTGATGTGCGGGTTGTGGAGTTCGGACACTTGGGTGGAGGCTGCGGTGGCCGGATCGCCTGAGCCGGACAGACTGCCTAGCCTGGAATGAGATTTTGTTATTGAAAGACAGACATTGCTATGTTACCGAAAGATGTGTGTGACATACTAGCTGATAAATACAGGGTGACTTTGTAATCAGTGTCCCTTTAGGAGCAACTCTGAATCAGTAACTTAATCGATTTACGTAAAGAAAACATTATTTTTAATTATTTTTATTCGCTGCGCACGGTTTCAAAATTGACTCACAATTTGCTTCGTTCATAGAATACGTACACACAGTTAAATACAAAGCTAAATAGACATAATGGTACGCGAAAATAAGCCTTAACCTTTAAAAATTAAGATATGGGCACCAGAGAATTAGATTTTCAATAATATTTTTTACCACGAAATATACCACTATTAGAAATAATTAAAATAAAGTTGCAATGTTAAATTGTTCTATAGTTTATTTAAAAAAATTGGACACTGATTGCTGACACCCTGTATTAGAATTGAACACCAGATAATAAATGCCAGTCCGCTTATGTGTGTGTGTGTGTAACACTTCATAAAAACAAAAAGACTTACCAAAACTCATTCCCAGGCAGCGCATTCCCGTCCCACGGGTAATTCATCACCAGCAACTTCCCTTCATGTTCTCCCGTCAATTTGGCAGACGGCTCCCGATTCTCCAGCTGAACATTAATCCCACCTCTGGGATGTCTTTTACTCTCCAAGAATATCCTCTTCTCCACGCTGAATAGGTTCACAATCCCACTGCTGGGACGGATGTACGAGAAATTGACGTCGGATACGTGGTTCAGAAGGTCCTTCTTGAGGAAAGAGCGGATTCGTTCGAGGAACGTTAGGATGTATACGTCGTTTTGGTGGCGAGATAGTGACCAGACGCCGAGACCTGGAAAATAAATTGACAGTAATATTATCTAAATAATATAACTCAAAGACTGACTCACTGACTGACTGACTGACTCACATAGTGATCTATCAACAGCCCAAACCACTGGACGGATCGGGCTGAAAGGCATGCAGGTAGATGTTATGAGTTATGACGTAGGCATCCGCTAAGAAAGGATTTTACGAAACTCCACCCCTAAGGGGGTAAAATGAGATCCACGCGTATGAAATCCCGGGCGGCCGTTAGTCGGAACATATAATCACATTTCTCGGACAAAAACTTAAAAATTGCCATTATTTAATATCAAATATAATGGCAAAGTAAAGTCTAAAATAATTTTATTACTATTCTACCATTGACTGATTGAGGGTTAAATTATATTTTCCTGAAATTGGGAAATATTATGAAGAAGTTCATTGTAACACCAAGAGATGGCGTTGTATATCGTGTACTAGATCGCGGTAGTTAAATAAATATTATGTAGTGGTAAATAAATATGTAGTGAACCATATTGAAATACATACTCTCTTAACGCGAACTTGATACACTTTCGCGGCAAATACTAGAAAGAAAGTGTTATTTTCTTGCATCATGCACATCACAAAACGATAAATAAATAAAGCAGTATAGCTATTTAAGTTACTAACTAACATTTTTTAAGTGCAATTATTATCCTAGCTACAATCAAGTAGGTGATATTTATGAGTAAATCTAATTCCACTTCATTTATCATCATCATTTCATCATCTCAGCCATAGGACGTCCACTGCTGAACATAGGCCTCCCCCAATGCTTTCCATGTTGCCCGGTTGGTAGCGGCCTGCGTCCAGCGCCTCCCTGCTACCTTTACGATGTCGTCGGTCCACCTTGTGGGTGGACGTCCCACGCTGCGTTTTCCGGTACGCGGCCTCCACTCCAGAACCTTGCTGCCCCATCGGCCGTCAGTTCTGCGTACTATGTGCCCTGCCCATTGCCACTTCAGCTTGCTAATCCGTCGGTGTCATAAATAGAAATGTATAAAAACCAACACTCACCACACCCGATCACATTCACAAACGCGTCCTTCTCCGCTTCCTTGGCCCTGTGCTCCGCTTCAAGCAGCGCGCTCTCCGCTAGCACGCTTATCCGCTTATAGTATACCTCGTTGTCGAACACTACTGTATCGCCGATTGGTATGTACCGGTCCGTATATTGCTTCTCTTCCGATTTCGTTTCTATTGTTACGTACGAGATTAGTTCTTCGTAGGTTACACTGTGCACCTGAGTGAAAAAGAATACAAAATTTTAATTAAGAATTATTAGAATGCGCGAATTGTGGAAATCATTGGGGGAGGCCTATGTTCAGCAGTGGACGTCTTATGGCTGAAATGATGATGATGATGAGAATGCGCGAAATTGCTTTTTGAAATTGAAACACCAATTTCACTTATTACGCTTTCGATAGATTAGATGATGATGATTGATTAGACGCTATTAGATCATCTAATTTAAATGGTGTGACGTAGTGTTGTTGGGATATCGATAATTACTATCGATAGTACTGAAGTTTTAGCTAGTCATGTCGATACTATTTAACTATCATATGGATATCGATACAATCAAACTATCGATATCGATATTTTTTCCTTTTTTAACTAAAGCCTGGTCTGTGAGCACGTAGAATTTTGTAAAATGACCCCAAGCTTGGACATAATTCTACGTGCTCACACACCAGACTATAGACAACTATTAGGTACAGTTAAGACTATGAAGTAGTATATTGATAATAAAGGCAAATAGGTAACTATCAGTAGTATCGATGTTATATCCAGTCGTAGGATATCTCGAGTCATATCGATATAGATTTTCGAGGTCGATTACCCACCTGATAGAATTCTGCCCACATTTGCCGCCACATATGCCTGGCGGACTGATTATTTCGCACGTACGTAGTCTTCAGTACATTGAGGCAAGTTGTAGGCGTGACTTCTTCACCATAACCATTCTCTAGGCGGTTCTGCTGTTCAGTTATGACGATATCTTCGTAATCCATGCGGTTGGTACGCTCGAAACGAGCGCCTATTTGACCTGGAATTAATTTAATTGGAATTAATTGGGTGCTTAGGAAGAATTCTAGTGCGAAACTTTTATGAAATAGCAATGCTAATCGATAATCGACTATCATAAAATATCGATACTCTAAGTCTACGTCATATCAATAGTATCGATAACCTTTCGACACTATCGAATCAATTAATGGTATGTCAATTTGGTAATATAGAAAAAATGGCACTATCGATATTGTTACTACACTCAACATCAAATAAACCGCACCTTCCGCGACGCGAACTTAAAGATTTTCTTCTGACACAATCATGGTACCCCAACAATATTGGTGTTATTTGAAAGCCCAATAAATATCCTTAAAGAAAAATACATTTCATGTCTAAATAAATGATTAACATATACCATAAATGTGACTTGAAAATAGACCTCACTTTGGGCTCACCTCTGGCCTCTGCCATCAATCAGACCAATTTTTATGGTTATAAAACCAAATAAAGATCTCACGTGTCCTCTTTAACAGATGGATAGCGATTAATCCCAACTTAACAGTTTTATAGTAACAAAAAATGGCTATAGCGTAACTACCTATTTTTTGAAGAAGTGTCTATGGATCCTTGTAAAGACACATTTTTGGGGTAAAAACCTTTCCTTTAATGAAATGAAGTTTAGAACTAGGCTTTCAAACGGTACCAATGTTGGTGGGAAGTGGGGATGCATACGTTTGATAAGTGCTTGTCGCGGGAGGTGCGATTTATTTGATGCCGAGTGTAGTTTTGATTTGGCACACAGAACTTTTGATACACTTCCCACACAAAACTTGAACTATACTATCGAAAAATAAAATGACTATTAGATCATCATCATCATCATCATTTCAGCCATAGGACGTCCACTGCCTCCCCCAATGCTTTCCATGTTGATCGATTGGTAGAAGCCTGCGTCCAGCGCTTCCCTGCTACCTTTACGATGTCGTCGGTCCACCTTGTAGATAGTTCACCTCGAAAACTATCGATACTCCAATACCAACTTACCCACAATAACAGCGTGTGTCTCCGCATCATCATCGCTCTCGACCCCTTCATTATGCCTGGATCCATTGTTGATGCATTCCGTAGGGCTGCTAACGTATACAAAAGCTGATAACTTCATCTCATCGTAGCTTAGACAGTTTTCAAGGAGTAGCGGTGGCTTCTGTTGTAACGTGCCCACTGATTCCCAACCGTCTTCGCTGTAAGGTATCAACAATAGAAACATTAAAGTTATTTGTAAAGCGACGCCTTTATAATGCACTTTCACACCCTTACTTGTTAACCTGAATTTTCTTACTGTAAGCTGATTACTTAATTATTTGATTTTTAATGTATTTTGTACATTGTTTCTTCATAATGAAAGCTCTTATATCCTGATATTAAAGTAAAACTCGATGGGATTTTTTTTCCTGTCGAGTACCAAGGTTAAATGATAATTTTAATATTTTCATCTGATGATAACTTAGGCTGTATTCCTTTAAAGCATTGCTTCCCAAAGTGGGGAGCGCGCCCCCCAGGGGAGTTGCAAAGACCTTTAAAGGGGGGCGCGGGCCATCTGTGTACTTAAGTATATAAAAAACCTGCGACCGCTGAGAGAGCTCCAGACTGCTCGATACGACCAATAAATCATCTTGACTGGAGGAGGGGGGGCGCGAAATTTTTAGTATGGTCGAAAGAGGGCGCGTCTCAAATAAGTTTAAGAACCAATGCTGTAGAGAGACCCGCATTGTGCAGTAATATTATTACAACGGAAAATACCTACTTTGGAAATACAAACTATGGTATCTTACTTGTACAAGGCGTGATATACTAAATATTTGTAATAGGACTAATAGGTGTGATTTTACAATGTAAAATAAATAAATAAATAATTAATATCCTTAGACATTTTACACTGCGCTTCTAGTCTCAAACTAAGCAAAGCTTGTACTATGGGTACTAGACAACGGATATAAACATACTTAAATACTTTTTTTTTTAATATACTTATTATACATAGAAAACACCCAGTCCTATACAAACAAATATGTTCATGCACACAAATGTTTGTACTGTGCGGGAATCGAACCCGCTACCTCCGGAATAGTAGTCCGTTTCGAACCACTACACCAAACGGCCGACTAATAGCACTCACCTTTCTTGTCCAGTGACCAGTTTGTAGGTATCTTCTGGGCCCATGAAGACAGCCGCTCGCTTCTTCAGTAGCCTGTCGATCAGTTCTGGCACGGTCATGTCTTTGTAGAAGGCCTTCTCTATGCTCGAACCGAACTCTCTGGAATAATTAAGAAAATAATTTATTACATCATCATCAGTGGGTCTAGACAAAGGGCAAATAATAATCGCAAACCAGTCGAAAAGTGATCGAAAAGCCTTTTTTTGTATGGAGTTTTGACGGATTCGATTTTCTATTTGATCAAAAAGTGCATTTTGTCTAGGGAGGCAGGGTCTTTAGTCTCCACTGCAGGATTACAACCATCTTTGATTGACTAGAGACAAACGCAGGAAAGTTTTCGAGTGGCGATCACAAGACGTGTGGGCAGACCTCTAACTAGCTAGGTGGACCGACGATCTGGTGAAGGTCGCGGGAAGTACCTGGATGAGGGCAGCGCAGGACCGGTCGTTGTAAAAATCTTTGGGGGAGGCCTTTGTCCAGCAGTGGACCTCATTTGGTTGAAACAAACGAAATGGAAGATTTGGGCTACACTCCCAACGCTGGACATATAGACAAATAGAGAGGCTTGATGATTGCATAGATGTCCTTTAGTTTATTACTGATTACTGATCATATTACTGATCATATGTCATCTCAGAAACAGGTGGACATCGTGTATACCGACTACAGCAAATGTTTTGACAGAATCGATCACAACATACTCCTTCATAAGCTTCAGCTGGTCGGTATACACGGTGACCTCTTCAGATGGTTCAGATCATACGTAAATAATCGCTGCCAGACCGTAGCCTTGAATGGGTACACCTCATCTACCCTGTTTGTGCCATCTGGAGTGCCACAGGGCTCGCTTCTGGGGCCATTATTATTCACAATTTTTATCAATGATATTGGCGCTTGCTTTTCTCACAGCAAAATATTATTGTACGCTGATGACATGAAAATAATATGCCCCGTCCGAGACGAATCAGACTGTCTTAATCTACAACAAGATTTGAATGTTTTTCTGAGTTATTGCTCATTGAACCATCTTGATCTTAACATATCTAAATGCTATATTTGCACATTCTCTAGAAAACCCCATACTATAGCCTATAACTACACTCTCGATGATACAATCATCTCTAGAGTTGATTATATGCGAGATCTCGGCGTTGTATTTGACTCCAAGCTTCTATTTGAGAACCACATTGACTCGGTTGTTGCTAGGGCCAGTAAGGCGCTGGGTTTTGTTCTGCGGATGTCCTCCGAGTTTACCGACATAAAGACTGTGAAAATGCTTTATTGTGCCTTCGTACGCAGTCATTTAGAGTATGCTTCGCAGGTGTGGAACCCAGCCTATGAAACATACGTAACGAGGTTGGAGTCTATACAGAGACGATTTTTACGGCATCTGCAATACAAATGCCGCGTCTTTATAGAAGACTACACACAGCGCTGCAGGCGCTTCCACTTTTTGCCATTGTATATGCGAAGAGACTTAAACGACATCGCATTCCTACTAAAAATATTTCAAAATCATGTGGACTCCTCAGAGCTTTTAAGTCGTTTTCATATTAATACCCCCAAAAAAGTTACACGACACTTTAAAATATTGCAGGCACCCTTGACTCGGACCAACTATCGCAAAAATTCGTTTGTAATTAGAGTTCCTGATCGATTTAATTCTGTTTGTGATGACATGGAACTAGACTTGTTCAATACCCCTATCAACCAGTTTAAAACAAAATTTAATAATCTTTTCTTTGTTAGATAGTAGTTTGAACTTCATAAATTAACATCGTTCTCTGTCCGCAATAAAATTAATTAATTGTTTAACTATAGGTGGGAACTTTTAATTGGCCTTACTTTAATTATAAACATTACTTAATGTAACACTTAGCTGTAAGTTCTCCAAAAAATTTTAAAATAAAAATTTAAAATAAAATAAATAAATAGTCTTTCCAGGCCTGTTCATCTCCGTGAGTTTACATCGAAAACAAAACACGCACGATGCACCTACAGGATACTATTCGACAAGGCCTCACATACGAGCGAACATTGACTCACGCACGCGTATTCTTGTGTATGATGGAAGAAAATAAAGAAAATGGTGTACTAAATACTGTGCAGTAAATAATAATAAAAACACAGAATTTAATTTTTTAAGTTGCCTCAAGACACTGAGAGGTAAATAAGTAGTTAATATTATTCATGATAATTCATGCTAAATCAATCATGTATTTCCTCCGCCATTTTCCGCAGTTTGACACCTCACGTCACATCATTTTACCGAAGTCAGCCCTATAGCTTCGGCGCAGTGCCGATCACTGACGTTTGTCAACAAAATGGTGCTTGACTCTTGAGACAGGCTAAATTACACCATATCTATATATATAAAAGAAAGTCGTGTTAGTTACTTCGCTTATAACTCAAGAACGGCTGAACCGATTTAGCTGAAAATTGTCAGGGAGGTAGTTTAGAGCCAGGAGAAGGACATAGGATACTTTTTATCCCGTTCGAAATTAAAAAAAAAGTCTGCTTATTTATTGCCATTAAGGCGGAACAAAGTTCGCCGGGTCAGCTAGTTGTTAATGAAGCATACATTTTTTATACCTATACCTTCGCGAAGTAAAACTTCTGTACGTAGTACTTATTATTATTCTGTGGTCTTTCTGACAAACCGAAATTCACGTGGGCAAAAAAACCTAGTAAAGTATACATTGTTAGTTATCTTCATCATCATCATCATCATCTCAGCCATAGGACGTCCACTGCTGAACGTAGGCCTCCCCCAATCTTATCAAATAGTTATCTTACCTTTTGTAAATGAGAAAATGTGTCATCAACAGCAACACCCTTTCATGTATGACAGGATAGGTTGACGCTATGTTTTTCTTCAGTCTTTCGATGGGTCTTCGCATTTTGAGTCTTTCCAGCCTGAAAAAAAAAACAGCAGCTTGAAAGGTACGCTAAGTGCTGATTTTTAATCGTCAGATATCTGAAGAATAAACTTGTAGTTTTGACGTGTTTCCCATACTGAGAGGCATATGGCCTTTTTCCTGTGATGTTGAGTTAGAGGAAAAAGATACTCGGTTTAATTCTTTCTGGGATCTTTTTGTATGTATTATAGATCGTTTTATCCACGAAAACGCGCTCCATCATTCTTCTGCTAATATTTGAATGTTATCATCATCATCATTTCAGCCATAGGACGTCCACTGCTGGACATAGGCCTCCCACAATGCTTTCCACGTTGATCGATTGGTAGGGGCCTGCGTCCAGCGCTTCCCTGCTACCTTTACGATGTCGTCGGTCCACCTTGCAGGTGGAAGTCCCACGCTGCGTTTTCCGGTACGCGGCCACCATTCCAGAACATTGCTGCCCCATCGGCCATCTGCGTACTATGTGCCCTGCCCATAGCCACTTCAACTTGCTAATCCGTCGGGCTATGTCAGCGACTTTAGTTCGTTTACGGATCTCCTCATTTCTGATTCGATCTCGCAAAACACCAAGCATAGCCCTTTCCATAGCACGCTGTGCTGTGAGTGTTATCGGTACACGCTAAATCATCCATGAGTGCACACGCACACTACAATAATGACGCTCGGATTGCTCGGATCAAACTCCCCGCACCCCGCGTTTCCCTCGACCAAAAATTGGTGGGCCGCGTCTTCGTGGATAAAACTATACCTTTATTCATATACAAAAGAACGCTATAGCGAGATTAAAATAAATGTATCATCATCTACCTAAAAATAGTTCCGTATAGAACACAAAAGAACCATAAAGCAAATTCACAGTTACGCTCATAACTTTAACGGCCATTCACATAGAGCCTGGGAAGTTCACGCTCCAAATAATTTTGATGTTTAAATAAATTAAATGCCGAGTTTTGTACTGTTTAGAGATAATTTTTGCCGATTTGGAATAAAATTACAAATAGAAGCAACGAAAATATTTGTGTGAAGCGATGTGCTTGCCGCTTTTTAAATATCTTATAGGTCATGTTGGTTTAAGGACATAGCACACTTATCAGTCCGGAAAGGGATTAACTCGAGGCGGTCAGTATTCTTCCTATGAAACTCCGTACTGATTTTTGGAGCCCAATTTGGTACTAAAATTATAATTTTTTTTTTTTTAATTGTATATATTTTTTGTTTTGTATTAGAATAAGTTAAATATTGTGTAGGTTTTAAGTGCATGTAATTTGGTGCCAAATAAACATTTTTTCTTTCTTTCTTTCTTTCTTTTACTGCAACGCTCACTTATCCACACCATAACGTAAACGCCTCGCTTTGCATTGACAGCGTGCGAAAGGCGAAAAGGTGTTAATCCCTTTTCGAGTTGATAAGTCTGCTATGACCTTTATGGTTCAAATTAATTAATTATTTATCGCAGGGTTATTACGAATCTTAGCAACCGGTTGCTAATTGTATAATTGAAATTTATGACTGAATGACTGCAAAAAATGTATGGTAATTATTAGAGATGAAACGGATATCCGGTAACTATCCGGTAGGCCGGATATCCGGCCTAAATTTACTATCCGGCCGGATACCGGATAGTAACTCACTATCCGACCGGATACCGGATATTAAAAAACTACAACAATTTTCTATTAATAAAATGAAATACATTAATCTTTGAGGTAAATATCAATAAAAAGTCCAAAAAGTTACAAAAACCATATTAAGGTCTTTCAAAAAACTAATTTCTCTTTCTGGGCTATTCACTCTAATGACGAATACATAAATAGTAAATATCTGTTAGTGTCGAAATATTGCCAAATAAAAAGGCGATCTTTTTTCACTGATGGTTTGATGACATGATGCATGCAGTTCAGTCAGATTACGCAACAAGTAAACTAATTTAATTTTCGCTATTCAATCACGCACGATAGCAACCGAAATCGCCAGTTGATCTGCCCCCTAGACAAGTGGCAAAATCTGACATTCTATTCGGACGGATTCGATTTTCGAAAAGTGTGACTACTCCAGTCTAAACTTGTCACGACATACAACGAGACAATGGGCCAACTATCCGGCCGCCGGATATCCGGCTATCCGGCCTAGCAGCTGGCCGGATATCCGGTATCCGGTATCCGGCCAAACAACTATCCGTTTCATCTCTAGTAATTATCGCCACTTGTAATTAAATGCAGCGCTGTCATTGGTTGACGTACCAGTCGCGTTGCTATTTACAACTAGCAAACGGTTGCTAAAATCTGTAATATGCATTTACTAAGTAGAGTCCCTAGGATTGTAAAACATAATACCTTATAGTCTCAATCGGAAACGGTATGGGAAAATCCTTGCTTTTCTTTATAATCTCTTCGACATCATCCGACAACTCCAATTTGGGCAGGTTAGCGCACTGACGTAACAGCTCATTCGTCTCCTTACTCATGCTGGGGAAACACCAGTCCGGTTTGCACCTGCAGAATAATAATATTGCTAGAATAGAATAGGATCGAAATTTTTAATGAAAGATAGGCAATATTGTCACAAAAAAATCAATTATAAATTAGGAATAGCAACATGCTTAGCTCATATTGTTATAGCATTCATTACGTAAAATGTGTAAAAACCATCAGTCCTCTTTGATATTTCAAAACCCTGTAGGTACAGATTCAATGGGACTGATATGTACCATCAATAAAGATGACACATAAATACATAATCACTTTATTTATTCATTTGCACAAAAGGACCAAACTCTGTCCTGCCCACAATTTGGACCTTTTTCTAGTGTTGTCTATTATTTGAAAACAAGCAAATGACACACAACAGATGCTATGTCNCAGAATAATAATATTGCTAGAATAGAATAGGATCTAAATTTTTAATGAAAGATAGGCAATATTGTCACAAAAAAATCAATTATAAATTAGGAATAGCATTCATTATGTAAAATGTGTAAAAACAATCAGTCCTCTTTGATATTTCAAAACCCTGTAGGTACAGATTCAATGGGACTGATATGTACCATCAATAAAGATGACACATAAATACATAATCACTTTATTTATTCATTTGCACAAAAGGACCAAACTCAGTCCTGCCCACAATTTTGACCTTTTCTAGTGTTGTCTATTATTTGAAAACAAGCAAATAAAGTAATAAAGTCTTTATGTAATAAAGTATAAAGTATTTATGTCTTTATGACACACAACAGATGCTATGTTNTCCGGCCGCCGGATATCCGGCTATCCGGCCTAGCAGCTGGCCGGATATCCGGTATCCGGTATCCGGCCAAACAACTATCCGTTTCATCTCTAGTAATTATCGCCACTTGTAATTAAATGCAGCGCTGTCATTGGTTGACGTACCAGTCGCGTTGCTATTTACAACTAGCAAACGGTTGCTAAAATCTGTAATATGCATTTACTAAGTAGAGTCCCTAGGATTGTAAAACATAATACCTTATAGTCTCAATCGGAAACGGTATGGGAAAATCCTTGCTTTTCTTTATAATCTCTTCGACATCATCCGACAACTCCAATTTGGGCAGGTTAGCGCACTGACGTAACAGCTCATTCGTCTCCTTACTCATGCTGGGGAAACACCAGTCCGGTTTGCACCTGCAGAATAATAATATTGCTAGAATAGAATAGGATCTAAATTTTTAATGAAAGATAGGCAATATTGTCACAAAAAAATCAATTATAAATTAGGAATAGCATTCATTATGTAAAATGTGTAAAAACAATCAGTCCTCTTTGATATTTCAAAACCCTGTAGGTACAGATTCAATGGGACTGATATGTACCATCAATAAAGATGACACATAAATACATAATCACTTTATTTATTCATTTGCACAAAAGGACCAAACTCAGTCCTGCCCACAATTTTGACCTTTTCTAGTGTTGTCTATTATTTGAAAACAAGCAAATAAAGTAATAAAGTCTTTATGTAATAAAGTATAAAGTATTTATGTCTTTATGACACACAACAGATGCTATGTTGAGTTGCTGCAAAGAAATATAAGCCTTAAAGTGGTCATGCGTCAACTTTGTTCATACATACTGCATAGGTATGAATACCAGTAGTAGCTGTATGATTTACATTAATCAAAATTAATCTATACAACCTAGTTCTCTATACATTTACGCAGTAAATAAAATGTTTGAACAAGCAAATAACTAGGTTTCTCAAAGCACTTACCATGCTATACTCTGCCATTGCCTGATTACATCCATTATGGGAACTTTTGCCTGAAAACAGTAAATCATAAAGTTAAATTGTATACAGTGTCTACACCCTTAAGCTTCTTGGCACACATCTGTATACACTTGCCACACACAATCTAATAAATGATTTTATCACTTTTGATTGTAAGCAAAAGTGTGTGATCAGTAGGTACCAGTGTTACAGGATGGGAATTCGAGTAAACAGTTTTATTTGTTTGGGTGTGACACATTGGGAACAAGTAAACGAAACACAAATAAGGATAAAGATGCTCACAAATTATTTATTTAGAAATAAAATAATATTGAAAAATTAATAGGTATCAAATTGATTCCATTTAAAAATTTGTAAGTGTATGTCTGTAGAACTAGAGTACCTACCTAATGCTACTTCAAGCTGCATATTTACAAAAGTAAGTACCTACCTAACTGTATTTCTTTCCGAAAAATCTCCCACTTGTGTAAGATGCCGTATTGCGTTAATGCGTATGTATTAAATACATCAAATGCCCTACATTCTCTCAGACTTATACTGGCACAAAATTACCCGTAATATCACAAAACACTGACTCAATTCATGACTAATCGTATGTTATTTTGATTTTCGATTAATTGCTAATGATTTATGTAAATACGTAGGTAGCGAGATTTAAATGTACTTACCAAAACTTGCCTGTGCAGTAACAACGCCACAGGCAGAAACTTCAACAAAATCATAAAACAGATGTTTTTGCGAAAACAATTAGCAACCGGTCATTTGCTTGCGGTTAATAATTGCGAACGAAATAACGAATCACTATCCATTTACAAACGAGCCCCATATCTGTGACGAACCCAAACCATCGGTGATCGCACGCAGAAAATTGCTTGCTTGGCTTTTGACAACTGACTGAGTGACAGACAGACACAGAGACAGACAAACAGCACACAGATTCAAAATAAATGAATGATCATTAATTGAATTAATTATGGTACGTATCGATTGCTAAATTCTACGCACAAAATTGTGGAAAAACTACTATAATTTNTGATCCACAATCAACTGGAAATAATGGAAGTACTAAGTTAAAACAAGTAGTTAAACTAAACCAATAAGGGATTAACCCTTAATCAAATGGAAAAAAATTAAGAGATGAAATACAAACTGAGTTTGGTTCGTAAATTTTGTGCGTAAACTTTGATATCAAAAACCTGGAAAAGTGGGGGGAAAGGAAGGGATTTACAGTGGAAAATAAGTCCCTTTATTCAATCAATCAATCAAAATTCTTAAGAAAAAGGAATCCCTTGTGGATTTGAATCAACAAATTAATATTGAATGCTGTATTAAAGTTAAGTTTAATAAATTGTTATACTTGGTTAATTGAATTGTTCAATCAAATCAATTAGAACTCGACCATTCGAGTCTTATCACGCATCACTAATCACAGATGATTTCTGTCAAAATTGTCAAATTTTCGGCGCGCTTCCGCGCTTTGCTCGCTGATCGAAAAGTTTTGTTTGTGTAATAAATTCGACAAATAACTTACCTGCTCACAATAATTCATTAAAACACAATCGACAGACAATTCTTGTGATACATAAACATGGGAGACTTGCAAAAGATCCGCCTGGAGGTAAACAATGCTTTCAAACTCAGCGGATTTACAATTCGTCGTGAAGCGAGTACTTTTGTGGCTGAACAGGTTTCTACATTGCAACCATCTGAAAGGCAGAAGATGATAGACAAATTGACCGCGCACCTTATGCACCAGTGTTTATCGGTGCCAGTTTTAGAGAAAGAGCACCTAGAAACTGCTTTTAAAGAGTGCTCTTCACTGGGCTTGGAAGAAGCAGAGACTGTTTTGAATCTCATAGATGCCTTTAGCATACCGAAATTACACTACGACAATGAGAGAAAGCGGTTTAACAAAGATGTGAATTTGAGTAATAACCTTTATCCGGAACCTAAATGGAAGGCCCAGTATCTGATAGATAGATACACTTTGATTTGGCAGAGAACTATCAGAAACAAACTGTTTGCACAAGAAGTGTTGCCCACTGGAGTTGAAGAAAAGCAGTTCCAGCTACAAAAAATTGAGGTATTATTGAGTTCTTCTAGTAGAGTTGATGAGGTTATAGTGTTGGGGCTTTTAACGCAACTAACTGAAGGAAAATTCTATCTTGAAGACCCTACTGGCAGTGTAGAGCTAGACATGTCTGAAACGAGGTATCATTCTGGTTTGTTTACAGAAAACAGTTTCGTTTTAGCCGAAGGATTCTACGATGATAAAGTTTTACATGTCATGGGCCTGGTATTACCACCTTCAGAGAGCCGAGCTACGTCGTTGCCTTATTTCGGCAGTTTGAACACATTTGGAGGAAAATCCAAGTCTTTGTTAAAGAATTCTCAAAGTTTGCTGAAGATTGAACAGGAAAATGAAGATGGCATGATTGTGTTCCTCTCAGACGTGTGGTTTGACAATTTGAAGGTTATGGCCAAGTTGAAAACCCTATTTTCGGGGTACAATGATTTTCCACCGATAGCATTTGTCTTTTTAGGAGAATTTCTGTCATGTCCGTACGGATATGAACACAGTGTGCAGCTCAAAGCTGCTTTAACGAACTTAGGTGAGATGATCTTCCAATTTTCAAAGCTCAAAGAATCGTGCAAGTTTATCTTCGTACCAGGAAGAGGAGATCCTGTAGCCCCTAACATTTTACCAAGACCGGCCATTCCAGACTCAATTACGAAGGACATAAGGGACAAATTGGGTGATGCAGTGATATTCACGTCAAATCCTTGTCGAATACAGTACTGTACTCAGGAGATAGTCCTAATAAGGCAAGATCTAGTCACAAAGATGTGCAGGAACTCCATACACTTTCCAGAGTCCGGGGACATACCAGATCACTTGACGAAGACCCTGCTCAGTCAGTGTACACTTTCACCTTTATCTCTCGGAGTCCAGCCTGTATTTTGGAAGCACGCAGATGCTCTGAGTTTGTATCCGATGCCCGATTTAGTCGTAGTTGCCGATCATTTCCAACCATACACCAGATCATACCAAGACTGCCATGTTGTCAATCCTGGCTCTTTCCCACGGACTGAGTACTCGTTCAAAGTATACGTTCCGGCTTCGAGAACCGTCGAAGATTCCCAAATACCTAAAGAAGATACATGAAAGACAAAACGAAACTGTGTTTCAAGTTATTTATTTTTTAAAGTACATTTTTTATTTACAAGATGTGATAAATTAAGTGTGACTTTAAGTCAGGGTCAGTTAAGTGTCTTACGCTACTTAAATTAATTAAAGAACAACATTTTAATGTAAATATTTCAAATATAGCATACCATAAAATAATACAACACAACCATTGATACAACTATACTTTGTTGATCTAATAAAATATTTTTAAAAATGTTTTTGTATTTTATGTAACAAATTGAGCCTCTTTACTAAATAAGTGCTTACCTAAGTAACACTTACATAGTAAAACTCTAAATACAATTTAATAACTGTTTCAAAATTAATCTTTAGGAATGTTTAAAATTACTTAAGTAGGTACTTACATTCAATTACAATATTCAAAATCTCTTTTTAACTGTGTAATTCATTTCAACTTACAATACATAATTTAACTTAATAATAATATTTACAAAAGTTCTACACCTGTTTTAGAGAAAATACTATGCAAACTAGTTGCTATTTTAGCTACTTTCCTTCTTATAAGTAAGTAATATTTATTACATTAACAATAGATTTCTAAAAACTTGAAAAATCGAACTGCCTAAGGTGGGAATCGAACCCAAGACCTTTCATTCTAATTACTATGATACATTTTTAGTTAAGTAGGTATCTAAACTTTTCTCATATTTTTTTTATTGTTTAAAAAATATCATAAAAATTTGTGAGCAATATTTTAGAGGACGGCTTGTCTAATACTTTGTAGAATTCCTAGTTTTACTCGTAAATTACTCAAAATACAGGTGTAATTCGCAGCCATGTTGTTTTTGTTAGTCTTGTCTTCAAGCGCCCATGATGGAGTTGTATGCCTCTCCTATCGGCGCGAGCGCAACCAGACAGATCATTGCTACGGCCAGCAGCAATACTATTGGTGCGTAGATGCTGAGGAGAAGTCTTCGGAAGCTGGAGAACTGTGGACAAAAAGGATGGTTAATTTACTTACGATATTCTGAATTTGAACTTACTTTTGCGGGTAGTTTCAGTTTACGAGCCCTAGTCTACGGCAGGGGTTAAAAATCTGAGGCTAGACAACCTCAGTTCCTTATTTTATTACCAAAACCCTTACGAATTAATAATTCTTAGAGCTGGAGTCATTATGAAGAAGTGTCATCTTTTAGTTGTTCCAAATTGTTACTTTAGCATTATAGGTATTACTGTGCTAGCCTTCTTTTTCAAAAAGTCCCTTGCTTGGTCCCTTGGTCTATAGAGCATTGGTTCCCAAACTTATTTATATCGTCGAAAGGCTTTCGATCATACAAAAAAAATCCGCGCCCCCCTCCTCCAGTCAAGATTATTTATTGGTCGTATCGAACAGTCTGGAATGTAGGTTCTCTCAGCGGTCGCAGGTTTTTTATACTTGAGTACACAGATGGCCGCCGCTCTTTAGAGGTCTGCGCCTCCCCTATGGTCACCAATAGTCTAGCTGGAGGGTCAACTCTTGTACATAAAATATGCTGCCGCACTGTGCGCGACCAGAGGGACCCGTTTTTAGTGGGTTTAGGCCTTGCTCTTCTGACAAGGAGAGCTTCAGATAACTTGTTTTCCATTTATTGGATTTTAAGCTCTACATAGGTTACATAACTTGCTAAGGACCCCCTGACAGCGGATGGACAATTGGACATGCTTTTGTAAAAAAGCGTCAAGCTTACCGGTGCATCAGTGCTCCTGTCGACCTGTGTGACTTGGCGTGGCTGGCCCATCATGTCCTTCATGGGGAAGGAGTTCACTCGTCCATTGCTGATCCGCCCGTCTGACACACACACCGTCAGCTGGAATACAGCAGATTATGAGTAGGGAGGTGGACAGGACAAGTAAATAATAGGTACCTACTTAGGTAGTCTTTAGTAGGTAGATACCTAAATACCTAAGACATAAATACGAGCACCACTTCTACAACCCACAGAAAGAATTTAAAGGAATTCCCTAGTTATAACTTTCGAATTTCTCTCTATTTATTTTGAAAATGGGAGAAATTTTCAAAGTTCAGTTCAATTGAGATTTTCCGGTAAGGATTCGGGGGCCCCTTGAGCTTGGGGGCCCCGGGGCACCGCCCCGCCTAGCCCCTCAGTAGCTACGCCCCTGACAAGAGGAAAGCCCCCTGTTTTTTATGAAAGGCCCCTGTGAAGAAAGAAGAAGAAAGCCCCGTTTACCCGTGGTTGCAGTGGGTCGATTGATCCATTACACCGGATAGCCTAACTAAAGTATAGGGTGACCATGAATGTTACTTTTTCCAGGGGACTCCGAAATCGCCGTAAAACCAAGCTATGTCTACATAGCTGGTGTAAATCCCAACAGTTTGACAGTAAACTCACCGACAAAACTATGTGCATGACGACATGGAAGGCCACGAAGGCGGCCAGGATGAACACGCTCCACGAAGGCAGCTCGGCCTTCTGCAGGTACACCGCCAGGAAGATTGTTGCGACTGGAAAATAATAGTATTAAATAAACACACAATAACACAGATAAATTAGTTTTATAGTTAAGTAAAGTCCGGTCGCCGAGCACATAGAATTTCGTCCAATGACCCCAAGAATCCTTATCGGTCGCGCGTAAATCCGTCGAATCACAGAATCTGCCGAATCCACGAATCCGACCAATCCAGTATCTGCCGAATCCACGAATCTGTCCAATCCCAGATTCTGTCCTATATCGAACAAAGGATTATACATATTGCTGTCGCGACTGCGACGGGCGGCCGCAGTGCAGTGAGTGTGCGAAATTCTATCTGTTCGGCGACCGGACTTTAGTAGAGATGTGCTTGTTCGTTCCAAATATAGGATATCCTCTGCTGCAAACAACAAAGACCTCTCCTAAGGATTTCCTCAACAGTCTTGCGCTGCCCGTATCCAGCCTACTGCGGCCTTCACCAGATCGTTACGTTAATCTACTGAGAGCGAGGTTTTTTATGCATAACAAGGCAGGTAAGTATTTGACCGCAATCGCACCTGGTGTTAAGTGAGAGGCAGTCTAGAATGGTACATAGCTGCCCTGTAAGTGCCTATTCACTCAGGCCTTAAAAAGGCCCGGATTATAGTGTTCGGAAAAGATAGCAGGCAGCGAATTCCTGTTCACAATAAAAGAGTTATCGAAACGTTTAGTGCGAGCTGGTGGGAATGTCGACAATTTAGGGATGGTACGCTAACCTGCGTCTGATTTCCCGGTGATGGAAGGTGGTGTGCCTCCTTATATCCAGTTTAAAACAAATACCTATCAGTGGCAGTTTCTAAGATACTTACTTCCTAAAATGTGAGCAGCGTTTCCTAAAAACCAGTGGAGCCAGTTGAAGATCGGCCTCTTCTTAGTGCCAGGGTGCGGCCTGAAGTATGCACCTGTTAAAACCAAATCACGTAAGTAGTTATTTAATTATCTAACTTCCTTAAGTTGAGTTGCACCACCTAACTTTGACCGTAACTATAACGTTAACCGGTGTATTTCGTATGGAGTTTGACAGATTTTGGACGTTTGTTAAAGTCAAAGTAAGATGGTACAACCCAGCCTTAGTTATGCCCATGATGCTTCTGAGCCAGGGGCGGACAATCTTTTTAGAGGGTTGCTTTGACTTAGATTTACATGTAGGCATGTACTTATTACTATTTCCATCCGTACGTTCCATACGTGTGGATTAGCAATAAAGAATTGAGTTGAATTAAATCCCTGCCTGCCTATCAAAATGAATGACGTCACCATTAGTCCGTTTCTACTAAAGCCTGGTCCATGAGCATGTAGAATCCCGTCCAATGACCCCAAGCTACCCATCCTTATCGCTCGCGCGTAATTATATTGCTGTCGCGACTGTGCGTCGCGCGCCCGCAGTGAGTGTGCGAGCGCGACAGCAACATAATAACGTGCGAGCGACAAGGATGGGCAGCTTGGGGTCATTGGACGGGATTCTACGTGCTCACGGACCAGGCTTTAGTTATTTGGTTAAACTCACCAATCGGCTGTATGAAGCACAGTATGACAGTGACCAGGCCGGTGATCGCGTGAGGGTTGTCTCCAGTCGTGGCGAAGCCGCCCACCTCTACTAGGATCAGGATGAAGCCGACGACTGTTAGCAGCCACGTCAGCACCATGAGGATTCGGTGGTACTGGAATATTAAATACACAGGTTAAGTATAACAAAATAATATCATCAGCTCAGTATGTACCTCTAGCTAGCATGAAAAACTTTCGTCTTCGAATCGTTTGCGTATTTGACAAAATTCGATACCCAGCCTTCGAATTCAACCTTAATGTGACGTGACGTTCTCGATTGTCTAAATTAGCTAAGTTCACTTTACGTCACGTTCACAGGGGCGCTGTTTAAGTTTTCATACTAAATCTTTAGATGGAAATTCGAATACGCAAACGATTCGAATTCGAAAGTTTTTCGTGCTAGAGATAGATACAGGCTAAAAATAGCCTTTTATTTTAGATGTCCTCCGATGACGATGAAAGTGGAAGGGCTGGAAATGGAAAGTTCTTCCACTCATTCTCAGTACCAGACGATGTAACATAATCGTGTCGAAATGGTGGTAAAGTAAGCTATAAAGGTCTGTTTAGTGCCCGTTTTCACTATAAATCCCTAATTTTTAAGTTACCCATTTGAAAACAAAATTCCTGTTAACTATGTGTTACCATCACTTAAAAATTAGGTATTGATGATGAAAACGGGCATAAGTGTCCTAAATATAATATCTGACTAACTAGGCGTAGACCTAGAAAAAACACACGATTTTACACAGTCTTAACCAAGTGGGCACTTTTTTCTGCAATGGTTATTGATACAACAAACGATACAACACTGCCCATTGCTACATAAGTAAGTATTATTAAGTAAGTGAAGGATCATTGGTAACGTAAACTATATTTGGTGCTTCAGGTGCTACTTTTTATATACGGTTCACGGTCAAGTCATGCTTCAATGATCCGATCATCGAGTGGTTTTCTTGTGGATTGTATTGACCTTTTTAAAGCTTTTTGTTAGCATTACGCATTTAGCTTTAATATGATCTTAGTAAGAAGGTACTTACAGCAAACCAAATGTCCTTGCCGCCTAACTGTCTGCCAACCCAAACTTGTCTGAAGTATCTGAAAAACAAAGGAAACGCTTTTTATTAACTGATAAAAAGTTAAATGACTGTCTTTTTCTGTTGATGGATATAAATATGCGTCTTATAAAACACTAACGCCCGTATTCACAAACGATGCTTGCTTAAGTGAAGCAGCAAATCGAACGCACAGCGTTGAATAGAGCTCTGTGATTGGTGCGTGTATCACCCTGTGCGTCCACGCGTACTGCGATACCTTATAGTAATGTTTGTGAATACGGGCGATAGTAATCATTGCTATGCGTAACCAATCACAGATCTATTTAACGCTGTGTGTTCGATTTGATGTTTCACTTAAGAAAGTAGTTCATGAATACGGGCGTAAGTCCCTGTGTTACGAGGTGGTAAAGGAAGTTAGGTGCTTGTTTTTCCGTTCTGGGGCTTCATCATCATCATCATTTCAGCTACAGGACGTCCACTGCTGAATAAAGGCCTCCCCTAATGATTTCCAGATTGACCGGTTGATGGCATCCAGCGCCTTCCTGCTACTTTTGTGAGGTCGTCGGTCCACCTTGTGGGTGGACGTCCCACTGCGTTTTCCGGTACATTACCTCCACTCTAGAATCTTGTTGCCCCATCGGGCGTCAGTTCTGTACTATGTGGCCTGCTAATTGCCACCTCATACCTATATAATCCATTCTGAAACTTACCTCGCAAGCAATATTCCAATAGACGATGTTCCCAACCAGGCCAGCAACATGAAGGATCCATGCAACTTCACGAGGAGTTTGGAGGAACCAGCTGCAGTTCCCACCGTAGCTAAAGCCAGAGACTCCCCGGTAGCACCGAAAGCGATAGAGTGGAAGCCTACCCGTTCAGCATCTGGAAGAAAATAGGTAAAGTAAATTTTTAAAGTAGGAATTGTGCTGGATGCAGGCCGCTAAAGTCCAGTCGCCGAGCAGATAGAATTTCGTTCCGCTACTGTACGACGAGTGGCCGCAGTGAGTGTGCGAGCGCGACAGCAATATAATTACATGCGAGCGATAAGGATGGGTAACTTGGTGGAAATTCTATGTGCTCGGCGGCCGGACTTTTCCAACCGGGCGATGTGGAAAACATTGGGGAAGGTTATGTTCAGCAGTGGAACGTTCTGTGTCTGGCTGAAATGAAGATGATGATATTAAGTAAATTGTTTTATTCTTTGCATCTGATATTATCATCATAGTTCATCACAAGTGGTAATGGAGCTGGTTTGATCGAGCAACTGTCTCAAAAGACTCATCACCACGCAACTACTTATGTACGCCGAGGTATAAATGAATGAGATGAGTTAAGTTGACAGCAGAGTTTATATTTTGTGGCAGAGTCAATATCCATATTATTACTTGGCTGAGAAAATGTTACTGAATGGTTATCACCAGGGCTCAATGCTTTTTTTATTAGTTTGAAGCGGTTGCTTCGAAAAAAAAATTATAAAATTTATAAAAGAAAAGTAAAGAGTTAGAGGTAGCTTACCTTTCATGCTATCACCAGAGACAACCATGAGGTTGTATTTGCCGCCCGCCAAATCAAACGTGAATCCCTTGACTGTCGAAACCACATCCCTCGTGAACTTGCAGTACAGTTTCCCATTGATATTCGAGCTTTCCTTCAACTGGACAATATCTTGTGGGGAGTCTGATCTTCTGACGAATGGCTCTACTTTAGGATAAGTCCACGACGTGAAAAGACTGACTCTTCCGTTGTCGTTTCTGACGCATTCCATGGCGCTGTCGTCGCCCATTTTGCTGTCCATGCTTAGAGCAGCAGCTATGTATTTAGGGTTGTTAGTTCCCTGGATCTCGAAGGTGTAGATGTCACCAGCAACGAAGACGGCTACGATGGCATCGCAGTTGCCTCTAGCGATGCAGTTTTCTGGGATACCGTAGCACAGTTTGGTGTCAGCGCATCCTTGGTAGATTTCGTCGCGGGTTTCGGTAGGCGGGCTTGGCTGAAGGCAGAAAAAAGATATTATTATTAAACTTCATAAATAAAATAGATACTTCTTTCTTCTCTGCAACATTGTCCAGAAGATGCTTGTTACCCTGATTATGTGCCTGATTCTGAGCGGAAACCATTTTAACTAGGTGCCGTAATTTTTTTTTAAAGGTTTGGTTTTAATTGTTTCCTACCTTGTTCTTTCACAAAAAATGCAGGGAAGCGAGCGCTTATTTGTCAACTACGTACTAAGGCATTCCTGGAGATATCAATTTTTTGCAGGAACTGCTTTTTGCAGGATCCCGTTAAGTACTTTACGTGTCTACAAAAACATTCACAGGAACATCCCGTTAGCAATGTCCCAAAAAATGCATCCATTCGAAATTTTAATTCGAATTTCAAACACACTTGTGTTCACACGACAGTCCAGTTTTACGGGATTCTGCATTACTGGATCCCGCAAAACTGGATTGTAGAAGGAATGGGTCCTTACCACAGATCACAGAAACTAAAGGGAGATGTGACAAGGGGGCGGGGCCGGTGTCGCAGCAATATGCCCAAAAACAGAACACATTGCTCGCGACAGCAATGATGACAGCAGCGACGTCTTAGAGTAGGCGCACACCGTTGATTTTTAGTTGGCCGATAGTTGTGCCCGATTTTAAATTGTATGAAGAATCGGCCAAATCGAATCGGCGTAGTGTGCGCACTCCCATACATGCCCATACTGATCAACTGCCCGACTAAACTATCAACGGTGTGCGACAGCTTGCGTAGATTATTCGAACGTTGAGAACTGATACCGCGTGGATAATGAGATTCAAAAAACTTATGTGTATTTTGATTACTTTGTGTGTGTGAATTTCTAATGCGACACTGAGTTTCGGACTCAGTGCATTAGTTGGCATCTCTCTTTATCTCTATGGTCCTTACCCTGCTCTCCATGATCACGGGTGGCGCGGCTTGAGTGGTCGACTGAGAAGTAGGGGCTGGTGACGTGGTGGTGATCACAGTGTTACGGTTCACCACCTCCACCACTTTGGATTCCACGTTCTTCCAGAACGTCGCGTAGCTTTGAGCTACAGTTGCTCTGGAAAGTTTTAGTTCTTTTAATAAAATGTCTTTGCTGATCATACGAGTATTTTGAGTGAGAATATTTTACTGTAGTTTAATTTTGACTGAGTAGCAGTAGATGTACGAGTAAGAAGTGTTATTATTGCAAACCTTTCTATGTAAAAACACTAAATTCATGTGAAGCCCTAAATTCTACTTCCTTTCGGACAATTTATTTATTTTTATTTATTTACACTTTTGCACATACAACTGTACAGTGGCGGACTTAATTAAATAAAGAAAGAAAAGAAAGAAAGAAACATTTATTGCCATGGACATCACAAAAGACAAAAGAGGTAAAATTAAAAAAAAAAAGCAAATAAGACAGAGGTGACATAAAACATTTAAAACATACAATGAATGAGCAAGTAAACTAAGCAGTGCCACCCTGTCGCACAGCGATGCCCATCGCAATGGGACCCCACTCAGCATATGCCGTGGCCCCCGGTGAGGGAGGCCACGACGCTGGTTTTCAGTGTGCCCCATGACGAGTGATTAAACGAGCTTCATTTATTTATTTAGGAATAGAACAGTAGTACCAATTTCAATTCATGTAATGGCCTAACCAGATTGGCGACTAATTATACAAAAACATGCATTCTGTCTGGGGATTCTATCTAAATTGCGATTCGAGTATTTCGACCATTGCTGGCCGATTGCAATTAGAGAAAGGCCAACTCGCTAAATACCTTCCCTTTTAGAAACCACGTACCTACTTACCTAAATATAGGTACCTAATGCGCGTTTTCACCATCAATTCCTAATTTTGAAGTGACCCCTAACACACAACAGAAATTTTGTTTCAATACTTAATAAGTTTATTGCTTTCATAATAGTAATGTCCATAGGGGTTACTTAAAAATTAGGGATTGATGGTGAAAACGGGCATAAGTGTGTTTGAGATTTCGATTTGGGCCTTAAAACCTGGTCGAGTTAACTGCGCACCTAGTGGCCGTGACGTCACATCGACGCTCTGATACAAACGGGGCGGTGGGGGTAGGGATATTCCGATACTAATAAATACGAGTAGGTACTCGATACTTTTGATTCGATACCAAGTATTTATTGTATCGAATCATAATTTTGCGATACATAATCGGTATCGAAACAAAAATACTTGGTATCGAATCGAATCAGCAAAACAACCGAAAACAGAATCAACATCATACAGAACTGAGAGAGCAAAAACAGTCAGCTAATTAGCTTTAATCGGTTACCGAGTTGCGGCGTGAGTGACGCGTTGCCTCGCGCTGGGCCAGACGAATTCGTCTGACTTCAGCCGAGCCCGCGTCTTTCCAATCTATACATAGCCAGAACGCAAGGGTGTGAAACTAATCGAGTATAGTTTGGAATATACTTTTTTTACTAAGCTCCTCCAAACTATACACTGCCAGTACGCAAAAACCCGTGTATAGTTTGTAGTGACGTAGGTAAATGATCGTATTCCGTAATATACATAGCCAGTACGCATACGGACTGATCATGCGTGACGTAAAATGTTGGAATGAGTGCGCTATTACAATATGTGAGTATGTAGTTGTATTATTCGACATTTTGATTTATTGACCTCTCTTTCTATTACATGGTAATTAATATCCGCGTATCTTCTTTAAACACTGAATCATCTTTCGGCACGTGCCGTTATTTTGATAGAGGGTTTTTAGTTAAAAATGCCGAAAGGCATTAAGTCCGCCTTATGTACACTGTTTTATGTGCATACAAGTTTAAAATAAATATAAGTAGGTAGTAATAAAATAAAATAAATGTAAAAAATAAATGAACATAATAAATTTATTGTTTTATTAAAATTAGTAAAGGAAGCACGACAAATAGTGTGTTACACACACGTTTAAAAAATAATCTTCTCTTAACTCACTAGAAATAGACTATCTTAAAAAATTTGATAAGCATGTAATTTTTTTTTACTTCTGCTTCGTTCGCTACGCTACTCAGCCAGGGATGTCCTAAAGTAGATCCCGTCAAATTATCGATAAAGTGATGTATTTTAATTATTATGGTGCAGTAGCAAAATGAGCGAGGAATAAGAATTCAGAATGTAACGACAGACTTAAAAGATAAATTTTCCTAGTTCAATTTTTGTGTCTTATAAATATATTCAAATCATTTCCTATTACGTTGAACTTTTTTATGTTAAGTTTTTTATTAATAGCTTTTATTTAACTTTCACTATTCGTTTGTACGTATAAATGTAAATTTTCAAAACTTGCAAACGATTTTTCGACCATACGTAGATCCAGACAATTAAATTGCAGTAATAATTTCAGGCCTATTATTTAACATAATTTTAAAGGAAATGGAAAACTCTTTTAGACAGAGCTCAATACTTATCTAAAATAGCAAACAAAATAGTATTTGTAAAATATCGATACTCCTTTTATAAAGTGTATTACCCCAACATTCATTCTATCGCCGAGATCATTGAATTATGAACCTTAAATCATTTGCAATAGATAATCAATTTAATCTATTAAATTTTTAGTGACATCTACTGTAGAGTAGCGGAATTATTACTTCGGAATTTGTAATTTGCCCAGTGATTTTCAACTATGGTCCTTATTACTTTGCATTAGATGTTGTATACACTGAATCATGTGTTTAGTGTCACCTAGTGATGAGTAGCAGTACAATAATGTAAGTAAAACGAGATTTTAGCTTTAAATCATATTGCCTTTTGATAAGGTTGGATTTCAATTGATTTGTGACATGCGCTCTTTCGAAAGGCCAGACCAGTGCAACGAATGACAGACAATAATCTAAGTGTTCTTCTCTGCTGTGGTTTCTGCATAATTAATTTTATAAAAAGTGGTAAATATAAGTGAAGCTCATCAATATGAGATGATGATTTTCAGGACTTAAGATAAAACATGAAAAATGATATACGTCCCTATAAAATTTGAGGGTTGCCCTCGATTCCTAGGATCCCATTATCAGACCCTGACTTGGTGACAATGGGACCACCTCAAGAGTATACCCTATCGAACAAAAAAAAAATATTGAAAGTTGCGGTAACGTACATACAGAAATATCGAATTGAAAACCTTTTTTTTAAGTTGGTTAAAAACTACTTACAAGTGTTAAAAAAATAGTTTCATATTGATTCAGTAAAATAATTATGTGTTACATGAAATACATTTCACTTTAAATAGAATTCCATATTTTAGGTACTACATCAAAATCAAACTAAATTCATAATATTATTTATGTCAAGTGTAAGTAGTGTAGTATAGTTTGGATCGAAGCCTCAAGCATCCACAATGCGAACTATACACAGCCAGTACGCAAAATTCGTGTATAGTTTGTAGGAACAGATTTACAAAGGAGCACTCCAAAATATACACGAGCAGTTTCCTATGGGTGCGTTCTGGCCATGTATAGAACGGAAAGACGCGCCGAGCCCGAGCCGAAAGCTGATTGAGATGAAAGAGATGTTTTCTTCTCAATTTTGTTTAAATTATTGTCCTTCAACGTTCATTGATAGCACCCTCAAAATAATAAAACAAAATAAAAGTTCCAAAAAGTATCGATATCAGTAAGTATCGATACTTTAGGAGTACTTATTTAAGTAGTATCGAAAAAAGATTTGAGTATTATCGAAATGAGTAGGTATCGATACTTAGGTGGTATCGGAACATCCCTAGGTGGGGGCGGTCCGCCCCGGGTGCCAAGCATCAGGGGGTGACACAAGTCGCGCAGATTAGTTCTCACTGGCGCATCTGCATGGCAAATCTGCGGTCTATGTCATGATACGGGGGAGGGGGGGTTGTGGGTGGGGGGGTGCGATTGTCTTTCAATCTTCGAATCGGTAGGTAACCCCAAAATCCTGCGGGGTAAATAATTTCGAAAGCTTGTATCGCGCATGGAATTTATTCCTCTTTTATATATTTGCGCTACAAGCTTTCGAAATTATTTTTCGTTTTAGTACAACTGCATTTCAGAATAAAAGCTTGTTTTTAAAAAAGTTTTTTAATTATTATAATTGTTTAGTAGTATCTCAATCTCAGAGCCTTGGTTCAATTACAATACAATTTAGCACCAAAGTGCTCGAAAAGACAAATCCAGCAAACCCAAACTCGATAATTTTCCACCGTTTCGTTTAGGAATTCCATCCATCATCAGGACCCTGGACATCATCTAGTACTAAAGTGCTCGATAAGAAAAATCCAACGAACCCAAATTCGATGCGATGCCGCCGTTTCATTTAGGAGTTCCTATGGCCACCTCATGACTCCATCATCAGACCAGCTCAATGGTATCATAACATTGAATTGTCATAGTACTTACATAAGTAGATATACCAAATTTCAGCTCAATCGGTTCAGGAAAACTGGTCTTAAATTCAGTTGCAAGAGTTGTCCCACACATACTAACAAGTGACGTTATAGTGATCTGGTTACAAAAACTGTTGTTTTTTGGGTTCTGGAAGCCCGAACGTACTTATCAGAACGCGTTTTTCTAGCGTTTTTCAGCGTGCCTGCTGTATCTTTTTGGTAAATAGTAGGTACCAGATTAACGATTAACGGACTTAGGATAATTTAACGGAAGTTAACGAGTCCGTTAACATTTTTTAAAGTTAACTTAAAAGTTAATCCGTTAATAGAAATGTTAACTTCGTTAATTAACGATTAACGGATTAACGAGTTAATGCCCAGCTATGCTTACACTAAGGTCATCATATTAGGTGCTTGGATATTTGTAATTTCATTATCTTAGTACTTATTACGATAATCGACTGGAAGTTAAGAAAGGACTCATAGTAAATTAAATTTGGATACTCATACTTTTTCACTTTCTACTTTATCGTTACTTTCTTTCTCTAAAGGTTCTGCTGTAGTAGAATTATTGAGAATCGCGTTCGCAGCAAATAGGTTTTATTTGCCGTCATGCTTGTTTAAAGATGTGTTTGTTTCCACCCGAACGATCCATTCGAATGGTAATTGGTGATTTTACACACGCAGTGCTCAAAGAAAGCGAGACTGATGCAGACTACAAATAACTGTTAATAAATATTTGTTTTGATTTTACGCTTCTGCACCGTTTCTTTTTTTTATACGAACTAACCAGATTCAAACAAAAGAAGCCTAAGGGGACTAGATTTCCAAGTGATGCACCATCAGCAATGCAAAATAAACATTCAATCACCAGTTTAGGTGCCAGTAATTTTTATTCGGAACTACCTAACCTAAACCTTTAGTCCCAGTTCGATTCCCAGAGGGAGTAAAATTTTCTGCTTGGTTTTGTTGGGCTTAGGTTGACGAGGGTGAAGCTCGCTTCCACCTTATATTAAGATAAGAAAAACTTTATTTGACACAAAAAGCAAATCTTCGGCCTGATCTTCACTTTCCAAGAGGAGAGATACATGGCAAGGGAAACTGTGGATTAAAAATCTATTAAGAACTCTTTAGCTCATTTTTAGCAACACCTTGATAAATTAACAACTCACCTGTATAGACCTGGCCTGCAGTATAAACCCTCCAATAGGCGTTGGCGCACCAGCAGGGCTGCCAACCGTGACATTCAAGGAGTCCCCTTGACGGACCTGCGACGATGACGGCCCGATGACATACGGAGGGGGTGTCGACTGCGCCTGGATGGACGCGTGTCGGGGCATCTGGTCATTGCACGCCTGGAAATTGAAATTAGACTTTATTATTTAACCTCATCATCATCATCATCAACAGCCATTTACAGTCCACTGCTGGACTACGAGCCTCCTCTCTATAGTGGAGGGTTTTGCCATAATCCCCACGCTTGGCAGGTGGGTAGAGGATATCGCAGTTTAAAAGATTGATGTTTTTCAGAGAGCGCTGCTGCCCGTTCTCTGTTTGATATGCAGTCCCTAAGTCGCCTCTTACGACACCCGCGGGAAGAGTAGGGGTTGGTGACAAATGTATTATACTCTGCCGTCACGCCAAGGTTATTATAAACCTGTCACGGGATTATTCCCACCTCTCGTTCCCACCGCTGCAACTCCTGTGTAGCCAGTACAGCTACCGCCAATAAAAACCCAACCAGTGAAGGTCAAGTTTGTCCCGGGAGAATGTTAAACTGTCATTGGACCCGCGACGAAATTAATCAGAAGAACATAGGAGTTTGAAGTTATGGTTCGACTTCCCTCCCTCCAGTGCAAAGAGGATGACAGGTGACAAAACAAAGGTTTAAGTAGCTTTAAAGAAAAGACATACACCACGGACAGTATTTAACTAGTTAGTACAGTCACGGAATGAAAAGGTTCGTCAGTTTTCAAATTGATTCCTTCAACGAATCGCGAGTACATATTACCTTTTGAAACTATGTTACAGAATAATCTCGAGTTAGAGAAAATAATCTTTAACTATTCGTCAGTAAAGTTCAAAATTATTCAGATCAAAGTTGTTTGACGATTTATCTTGTCAAGAAGATTATTATGATTGATAAACTAAAACCTTCTTGTTGGTTCAACCTGCCATTATTATTTCTTATAAAATAAAAATAAAACTATTGTCAATTGGTCAATGTCATCATTGCATTGCACTGATGGGATAGAAAAATTAACAAGCAAAACCTTATTCGTTAGCAAACGTCATATTTATTTAAATGTTAGCAGCACTGTTTCTTGCACTGTTATGTTGGCAGGTTTGACTCTTACTGTACCTAGTGCAAGCGAAAACCGACACTAAGGTGACGAACCTTTTCATTCCGCGACTGTACAAATATAAAACGCCTTTTGTTCGTTTCGGGTGCCAACCCATGCTACGCCGCCACTGAGTTACGGTCAAAGTTAGATGGTGCAACTCAGCCTAAAACTAAGAAAGATTGAAGAAAAAGAAACATTTCGTTTTAAACCTTAACCCTATGACAATAAAGTGCACAATGGTATTTCGTATTGCAACCTAAGCCCTGATTGTCTCTTATTGGTCGTAGTAAAAATATAGTAAAATGCGTAACCAATTAGAGACGGGGTGAGCACGTGACCGGAGCGATGCGCTTACGCTAAAATTTCTACAAAGTGGTCAGGCGGAAGAGTCCCCGATAGTACCTCATTACAAATAAGTAGATTAATTATTTTTTCACTAGACAGCAACCCTAACAGCGTAAGAAGAGTTCAGAGGCACGCGATAGAAAGAGACAAAACTTGTAGGTGAATAAACTTGTAGGTACGTGTGCTGTGCGAGCTGAATTCCACTGTATCACGTCGTAGCAAGACTCGCATTTATTTAAATCGTCTTGCGGAGTAATCCTTCTGTACCTGTACTATTACTTATTCTGTGGTATAAGGCTGACTGTTCTTACCTAATTAAGTACTTAGCTCTGTGAAGCGATTTCTGTGTAAAACTGACACGAATGTAGGTAATAAAAATAATTATGTAGGTGTGAAACAAAAATCGCAATATCGATTCCATCGTCAAAGAAAATTAGTCTCAGAATAGTGTTGGTGGTCCATTAGACCAATGCGTAAACACCAGTTTCTTATTTTTTTGTTGATAAAAATAAAATTAACAAACTAACTACCAAACAACGTATACTTACATTTTGACCTGGTATTTTGATCAAAACATGTTTGTTTTTAAACAATTTTACTTTGCTTATAAACATGTGTATTAAAACTACTGCCTTTGACAACTTTATTGAGGAAAAAAGATTCTAAAATGATGCCAAATGGATATCGGATGCAAATTATAAGAATAAGATACAGAATACAATAGTCCATATTAATATTTACCTCGAGAAGGAAAACCTGATGTCATTGTTAATTATGAAAAGGGTAAAATCGTTGTATACTAAGATAATTAATATTGTTCTACAACTGGTATATTATACTGTAAAGGCGCTGATTGTTATTTATACTAATTTATAAGATAGGATAAAAATTATACTATTCGTCGAGCTTTTACTCATACAGAGTGAAAGGTATGATATAGGAGACGAGCAACAAGCTAAGCACAGTGGCTCTTGTTGTAAATTATTGTATGTTAGTATTTTGGCCATGTGCGATAAAAATAATTGAAAATATGGTCCGAAGTATTCAACAGTCGTAGAACTATTTTTAAAGTTCCGATTTCTCCGGGAGAACTCCGAGCCTATATTCATGGATTCGGAACGGACGTTTATAGGGAAACCGCAATAAAAGGAGTGACTTGCAACATAAAAGTTTAATCTGAGGGCTTAGTGTGAGTTTAACATCAAAATAATATGTCGTCCCTACTCCCTAGGGACGCTGTACAACTCGTCATACATTTAGGGTGGGTTGCACACTTGCACCATCTTTGTTTAACTTTGACAAACGTCTAAAATCTGTCAAACTCCATACAAAAAACACCGGTTATCGTCATAGTTACGGTCAAAGTTAGGTGGTGCAACTCACCCTTAATGTCACTTTTTTACGCAGTCGACATCGAATGCGTTTGACTTAAACGGGGGGTCTAGACAAAGTGCAAATTATAATCGCAAACCAGTCGAAAAGTGGTCGAAAAGCCTCTTTTTTGTATGGAGTTTTGACGGATTCGATTTTCGATTCGATCAAAAAGTGCGTTTTGTCTAGGAGGGTGCTTAAACTCACACTACGCCCCCTGAAGTGCCAGCACTCCTTGTTTTAAGTTTAATAAAGTAAATATAGCTTACCCCAGCGGGAGCTCCTGAGCTATACTGCTCGGATGACCTGATGAGGACCAGTAGAGTCAGGAGTATCGTACTTCTTTTCCTGGGCAACATGGTTGTGTGACCTGCAAAGATACGAAACGTTATGTTAGTTCAATGTTTTTTACTCCGTAGAGGGTGTGGGAGGTCCTTTACATCTACGGAAACAAATCGAATACTTAAAGGGAAGTTGGCTGAGAGGTATCCTAAAGATTTTCTTCACGATGATCATCGTTGATTGTAAATCATGAGGATGAGCTTCAAGCTCCAAAGGCATCCAACTTGCAAGAATTATGGCAAAACATAGGTTGGGAGAGAATCACATTCCTTGAAGAAAATCACTTCATTTTTAGAATCAGTGGAATGACTTTTGTAAAAGAAAAATAACTGTAGAAACTTGTTCTTGTTTTAAGGGTAAGGCTCGTTAGGTGATTTTGTGGTCGATTTTCCTTGTAGAGAAGAACTTTTATTAAATTGGTCATTTAACAGGTTTAACAGTTTAGTTAATCATTCAGCTAAAACAGTTTCTATTCAAAGCAAAATAAGGTGCGGAATAACGGATTCCCCAATTAATACCTACAAACCTACCTCAAATTATCCACCCCAATTGATTATAAACTTTAGTCTTTAGATTATAAGTTCGAAATAAACTAAGCTTGATGTGCCGTCGACTGTACATTCTTGGCGGGTTTTTCCCATAGCGATGGCTCCTACGTATAAAGGCGAAACTGCCGCTTACGCCTTTTTCCAATTATTTAAGGAATGATTTCATTTTGCTCTAATCTATAACGTCAGTAAGAAAAAAAAATTTTTTTTCCATTAGATACAAAATAAAATTGTAGGCAAATAGGCGTATGTGCAAAATTACGCCACGTATAAAGCCCAATCATACGATTCGTCAATCTATACGAGTAGTTGCTTACATAAATATATATTTTTTATAATGCAAATCTTAAATAAAGCCATGAAAATATTTAGCAAATTGTTTTATTTATAAATTTTGACACATTATATAGTTATTTAATTTTTAGCGTTAAGAGTCGCATCTCAAACTAATTTGAAAATTATAAATAACTTGAAAAAATCGAACTGCCTAAAGGCATTGTGGGTTAATTCCCGCCTTAGGCAGTTCGATTTTTTCAAGTTATTTATAATTTTTAAAAATATGACACATTATGTTAAAAGACCTAACTAAATCTCGAGCACAGTATATGGGCGTATTTGCGTTAAAACGTAATAACGATACATTAAACAACTTTTTCTAACTGATTTATTATTAATATAGCACATGATAACAATTAAAATAATTACATGCATAAATAAAGAGAGTAATCGCTTAAAATATTATATTTACGTTGTCATTTAAGTCTCTTTACGTTGAACAATATACATGAAATTATAGAAATATGCCGACGTAAAAGGGCAATGCGTAAAATCTCAAAATATATAAGAAAAATATAAAAAATAATAACAGCAGTAGCAAAAGCATTACATGTTAAAGCTAAATGTGAAATTTCATTAAATTCGTTTTAGTAGGTCAGAAGATATGACCCAAAAATATGGTTCTGGCCACTAAAATGGCTCTCCTGTAAAATTTACTTTTTTCACTTACGCCAGTATACGTAGGAGCCATCGATAGTGGCATAGTTGTTGTTGTAAAAAAGTGATAATATCTACCGATAGCCAACACGCAAAAGCCATGACCGATCGTCAAGTAAACTGCTGTGTAAGTAAGCTGAATGCTCAATATAAAAACTATATACTTGACAGCACATCAAGTGTTACAGCCTCTATAGCTATAGGTGTACCAGAATCTCATGGCAAACAAAAATATTGGAAAAGTGTGTTTTTCATATGGCCATTGTCTATGGCTTTAATGTCACCTGTCAAAGTAAATCAAGAGATCTGTCAGCCACTGCAGAAATTTTGTAATCTCTTCATGCCAATTTGTTATTTTTGTGAAAAAGACGAAAAAACTCAAGCAAGTCATATTGTAATTGTTTTCATAGTGTATTGTAAAATAAGGCATAATTCAAAGTCAATCTTTGATTTTAATGCGCGTCGTTGAGTTGACAGTAAGTTGGAGTGAAATGTTTTGATACTTAACTACCTACATTTAGTTTAGTCAGAAGGAGGGTTATGTTTATTTTTATATTATTCTTACCTAATAGCTGCTTTATCGGGGTTTTCAGGTGTATTTCATGCATTGGTGCAGAGGAATGGTGAAAATGTTATGACCATGTAAAGAAAATTGAAAAAGATTTCATCAAACAAGTTTGAGTAATTGAAATGCTGAAAAAGCGATTTATATTATATTAATACCTCTTTAACTTGATCATCTATTTGAAGAACAAGAAATGCAAGTGGAGTTCTTAGAATCGTTTTCTAGTTCTGAATGAAGTAATAAGTTATAAGTATGATACTTAATAAAATTATTATTTACAGTAATATACGGTTTACTTATTTTTCAAGACATGTTCCTATGTTAAAAATCCGATGTATAACAACATTCTTCATGTACTTCATGTTCATTAATATTAGTCATAACTAAAAATTAAACTGTATCAAGATCGTTTAATCCAATTTCCCCAGTATTGCACTCAACAAAGTTTATTTTCCCCATTTGCCATGAGATTCTGGTACACCTATAGTATTATGCGTCAATGAAAATTATTCTAAATCTTTGGACAATTTCACACAGCGCCAGCTAGCCCCAAAGTAAGCAACTTAATGCTTGTGTTATGAGTGCTAGCTTAACGGAATATATACTACTTATATACTTTTTTTTTAAATACATAAATATTATACATAGTCACACCCGTCACAGAAATTAAAATTCATCATTTCAGTTTCTGCCCGGCCGGGAATCGAACCCGGGACCTCTCGGCATAGTAGTCCGTTCTGAACCACTACACCAAACGGCCGACCAAAAATAGTAAAATAGTCACTCTAATTCCATGTTGATTAAGGATAGTGTCGATGTCAATATGTTACGTCTTTGTGCTTTTGTGAGTACTAGCCACCAGGACTTACCAGGTATCTAAATTATTCAGTTACGATCAGCCTTGAAAAACATATAGAGATCTTAATCCAAAATTGAACCAGAAACTAGTTGAATAGTCATCTACTTTAGCTAAAATGAATGAGTCATATCAATTTTGTTTGTTCGCTAATATAATCACCCTACTTATTTTATATTAAGAGACTCACATAGTCATAAAATTACAATTAACAATCAGAATTTTTGTAATAATTTAATAAGCAATAAAATAGGCCCCAAATTTGACCCTTGTGGAAGTTATTAACAATGTTTCTATTATTTTCGCCATAACCATTAATCTGAGTCAGCATACGTATTATGTACAGGATATAGAGACAAGCGCTAAGAATTTTACATTTCCGACAACTGACCTTAATTTTGTCGTTGATTGATAGTGTCGAAAGCCTTTGAGGGGTCGGTAAGGTCGAAATTTACATAACTGTAGGGGGTATCCCCGTAAATCTAACTGAAGGATAATGGGGCTCATTCTTTTCCCGAAAGTTACGAGTTTTAAGAATGTTCTTTATATTATTTCTGAACGTTTTGATAAAATCACTGTACCAAATAGAAGTTTTTTTCAGTAACTTTCGTGCATTAAGCATTTTCATGACTATTGACCATGTCGCTTGACATAGAATTATCAATTTACAATCACAACTTTTCAGACTATAGAATTAATCAATTTTAAAAGTTTGGGATCTGTTCTCAAGTATAGTACCTACTCCTTCTTCACGCTTTGATCTTTTATTCAAGGACACCTTGTATATACCACCTGTTTTCATACCCATAAAATGTTACTTTAACATTGATAAATAATATCTTGCCATAACATTAGATAATGACAGAGATATGTCGCAAAAACGTGTTAGAGTAAGACAGATAGAGCTATTAAACTGTACGGAAGTAAGGTCAACGAGTGAAGGGACTATGGTGGTGTGACTCAACAAGGAATGTATTGTTGGTATTGTAAGATTTATCGGTAGACTATATCCGCGTTTACATTCAATTAATACAGAGAAAGATAGGTATTTCACAGAATTAAGGCACTAAATTGCAAATCAATTGATCCAGAGAAAGATAGTTGGTATTTTCACGGAGTTAAGGCACTCAATTGCAAATTGTTTTTCGGTTTTGCTGATTGACCTTGCCGGTATTTCTTATCGGCACTTAGTAAATTAATTCCATGTAGGTAAGAGTCGCTTTTTTTTAATGAGGCTTTCACAATCTTTAGCCATTTTTAAAAAATAAAGGGAAGAAACCAGCTCAATGTCCATGTTAGAGCCCCTAATTCGAAAAAGTTTCACAATATTTAGCCAATTCTGAAAAATAAGCGATGAACAAATATGTTTTTATGTAAGTATGTATGTACTTAGTAGCTATATCCTTACAGGGTGAATATACATAATTACGATGCATGTTTCGTATGCTGCTATTATGAAAATTATTAATGATAAATAAGTAAGTGCGCCTTTATTAATAAAAGTTTCAAAATATTTAGCCAGTTCTGAAATATTCAGCAAAGAAGGAACAGTTCAAGGTACGATTTTTTACCTCATTTCTAAAAGGATTAATACAATATTTACAGCTGGGAAAACCCCCAAGTTTAGTTAAATTATGCATCATTAAGCTAGTTTATGCATTATTATAATAACTATACTAAACGGATATAGTGTGCCAATGTCATTAACGTTTCCTAAAACAGCCCAATGCCAAAGCTTAAGGAAGTGTGCGGTTTGTGAAACTGTATTTTATAGTGTTACTTTGTGACGAGTTTTTTGGCGTGTTTTCGACAAAGTATCTAGTTATTTGTCAGTGGACATATTATTATGATACGTCAATTATGTCACCACTACTATCCGTTTGCGATAAGTTTGCCGCTGGCGATATGACGTCACTCGAAGGAATGCGTCTACATATAACTTTAGCAAACTAAATTGGAAATATTTTTTATTTATTAATATTGATAAAAATTGTGTATTTGCGTAAAATAAAACACTCAATTGCGTTTAATCACTAATTATTTGCGTATAATCGCGGTTGGAGAAA